GTGTGTGTGTGTGTGTGTGTGTGTGTGTGTGTGTGTGTGTGTGTGTGTGTGTGTGTGCGCGTGTGTACAATATGCCAATAGTTGTGTATCTTTGTCTGTGTCTTTTTAACTACCTCCGCGGAAGGTTTGCGTACAGTTCCACCTCAGACCTAAAGTGACGGCAGATGACAAGAGGCGGGAAGAAGGGAAAGACAAGTTAAAGAAAGACAACAAGGAAAAGCAGGGGGAATAATTGCATGATTAAAATGCCACTTTTACACTGCACAGTATCAACTCGGAAACGAAAAAAAAAAATAAAAACTTGGAGCATCAGTCAGAACAATATACATAAAACAATAACAATGGAAGAAAAGTAGCCTCTCTTGTATTTACTGTCAGTAAGGCGAACATTTTTATCCAAGAGAAGGCTGAAGGCAGCAAGAAACGGTAAAAAAGTGGAGCTGAGGCACAGCAACAGAGGAAAGAAACGTTGTGAAATGTTTGTTTATTTTTGTCATTTTGAGCCATGTAGCCTCAAAAGTTACAGTGAGGTGGCCATGAAGAACCTACATGAAAAATTTTGGCGGTTCTCAAACTGTGGTCTGTGAGCCATAGCTCGGGGGTTCGCAAAATCATCTGCTATGAATAATTATTGTATCATTTAAAAAAAAAAAAGTGCATACCTACATATAGGACTGGCATCTCGACAATACAAATAAAACTCTGGGCCGATGCTGACGTATCAAATCTTACATCCCCACATGAACTATGTTTTTTTCGAATATATTCCTATTTTCTAGGGGTATAGGTGTCTTTTTTTTTTTTTTTTTAAAAAGGGTGCGATATTATGAAAGTAAATTTGTATTTTTAAAATTCACTTCTTTCCCTTGTTTTACAACATTGACTAAGGATATACAATGACTTAATCTTGGAAAAATATAACTAAATTCTCTTGCTGACTTTTGTCCTCATAAAGATCACTACTTTTTTTTCCCTTGAAAATTAAATTAAAAAAAAAATCCTTTTGTTTTCCAAGATTCTAATTTCTTTGCCCTTGAAACTATGCAACCTTTCAGCTAAATTTAAACTGAAACTGAAAAGAAGAATCTGTTGGGTTTACATTTGGGAAAAAAAGGATGTACATTGACTGCACCAATGAAAATCATGTTTCACCAACATAAATATCGTACGAAATAAAATATATTCATGTTGGTGAAACATGATTTTAATGTGTACAACAAACAGCCATATTTTATTTTGAAATTTTAAATGGCCTTTTTTTTTTTGTCAGTGCATGGTAGTACCATATTTTGAATTGGCAAGATTATCATGTGGTCCCGGAAAAAATGTGTCACCAGAATGTTTGAAAACCCCTTGGAGTAGGTCGTGTGCAGTGGAAAAGGAGCAAAAGAGGTGAACATCTAACAGAAAGAGAAGCACATCCATAAGGACAAAGTGTGAAGAAGAGGACTAAATGCTTGATTGTCCATTGCATGCCAAGTCAGTGACGCGACATTATATGGTGGTGCCTTGAGCTACAAGCCATCCAACGTCCTTTTTTTGTTTTTTTTGGTTTGTCCAAAAAAAAAAAAAAAGAGTGGAAAAGATGAGCGCCAAATGGTGGCGGGCGACTCAACTCACTTCACGACGAGCTGCAGTTTGGCTAATATAATGACTAAAACCGTTTTCAAAAAAGAAGACTCAAGCTGTTTATTGTGAATCTCAGCTGGTGGTTGCTGTCAAACTAAACATAAAACAATGTTTGGGGAGCCTGGGACTCATTAATGGCAATTTCTTTTCATTTCAATTGGTGCAAGTATGAGTGTTTTGCATTAGAGCGTATTGCGTGATCGGGAACAAATTCAACGTGTAACTCAAGGTGCCGCTGTACAATAGTTAGCATGTTTCCACGGTCAATGACAGAATGAGAGAATATTAATGGCGGGACTTCAGGATTAGTCATTGGAATGAAGTACTTTATCACGTACCTGGTGGAGGGAGGGGAAGTGAGGGAACGTCGCCCGACGGCCACCTGGTTGATGTTGTAGTAGCTGGGACTGCTGTCCAGGTCAGCCAATGAGAAGTTCGGACCTGACGCCGTGGCAACAGGAGCTAACGGGGAAAAAAGAAAGATACTGAGCAAGAAAACATGAAATATATGCAATTGCAAATGTGGGTGGTGATGACATTAATAAATGTGTGTCAATAGTTGAAGAGAAAAATGAATGCAAATATATATATTTTACTTCTGCCAAACAGGTCATGTTTTAATTGACTGTATACGAGCAGGATTACACAAATATTATTTAATTCAAAATCCAAATTAGGTTTTCAAAGGGGTGGTGCAAGGAAAGGTGATGGGAATGCACATTTAATTTCGGTGCATTTCCAGATAAAGGTGTGATCCTTTCTTCTAAAATTGTCAGCCATATTTTCATATTTTCCTAAATTTCTAAGTGAGTCAGGAATGAATATTAATGGCATAATTCAGGCATACGCACGAGGGTGGGTATGTAGGTGTATGTTGGGGTTGTTCCAAATTGGAATTTGGCAGCAATCTGTTGAGTACTAATTTATTTTTTCCCTTCGTTTTATCTTTTTATTCATTTATGTATTTATTTATTTATTATACTTACTCTGTGACACTCTGACGAGCTCAGCCACGTTCCAAACCCCTGAGGTGACAAAGCAGTCTTGGAAACTCAGGTGTCCTGTGGGGGGAAGGGGGGGGATACACTTTGATGAAAACATTCAAATAAGAAAGGAAAGAATCCTTGAAATTTGCACACCTTTGGGACAACTACTTGAAAATCAACATGCGTGTTTGCCATTTAGAATATAATATACAGCGGCTGAAAAACTAATTACTCACTCCAGTTGAAATGCCAAGTTTTTGTGATACAAAACATTGAGACCAAAATAAATCATGTCAAAACCTTTTGTACTGTTATTGTGACCTCTAACAAGAACGACTCTATTGAAATATTGGCTTTAATATTTTTGACAGCGTAAGTCATGATACAGTATATAACTTACATAATGTGTTTGCACACCCTCTTAAAACTGGGGGCATTCAAATTCATGTTAAATGGATGTCAGCACACAACTGCAATCATTTAAATTGACTCTGACTAACACTTCTAAAGTTCAAGTCGGATTTTCCCTGATATTTGTGTTCTTCATCAGCAGAAGCTTGAACATTTTGTGTTAACACTGACTGGTATTTGTATTATATATGAACTGTTCATAATTCCTTCCATCTTGAACCAGAAGAAAAAAATACCCCCAAAGCACAATGCTGCCACAACGATGGTTCACTGAAGGCACTATTTGATTGCTAGCTTTGAAAAATAATTTCAGGTATATAACTCTATGAATGTTCTGAACTCCCATTTCAATGCCGGTGATGTTCATCTTTCGCTAGCAAACTAGTACTATGCCTACTTCCAAGTTGTGCATTCAGATTTGTGTCAGTTGCTTTCAGATGGGATTAGTCATGTCCCTCAGTGTGTGCGTGCATGTGTGTGTGTGTGTGTGTGTGTGTGTGTGTGTGTGTGTGTGTGTGTGTGTGTGTGTGCTTACCATTGGGCGGTGGTTTAATGTCCGTGTCCCCCTGTTGGCTAGAGCTGTCTGATTGTCCGGATTCTGCACAAAAAAAAGAACCACAAAGAAAAAATGGTGACTAGATTTTCTTTAATGACTACTCTACTGTTCAACCATAAGTTGAACTGTGATAAGCGAGGTGTCGAGAGAACAAGCTAAATTTGTAGTACGTGCTAAATTGTGGTATACATGTATTAGTGAAGTCACACCTTTTTTTTTTTTTTTTAAGCGTGACATTTTTTACATCCCAGGAAAGCTCGCTCCCATTTCCCCGCTGAGTGAAGGTGCAATCATTTACAGAGTGCTGTTATGCCAATAAGTATCTAACTACGCAATCATATCCCGTGCTCTAATCCTGTTTAATACCTTCTTGCTGGTAGGGATTTAGACTGCATAAACAGAGCACTTTACGCACACACGCACACACACACGCACACGCACACGCACACACACACACACACACACACACACTCTCACTCTCGCATATGAACGCACACCCACAGGAGCATGTGCACTCGCAATCTGTTTCTTCCTCTAATTTCTGTTTCATCGCCGCAAAAACAGACTCTGGAAAAACAGCTGACCACGGGAGTTTGGCTGCACCCGAGGATTTGAGGCAGAGCGCGTTTTAGTCTCAGGAAAACCATTCCCCATGGGGGCAGACAAGCAACACTAATCTATGTACACATGCACGTTTGCGCACACCTGTTATGACTGGCCTGTGAATGCAATCGGCTTCACTCACCCGGGCGGTTAGCCGCGCAGCAGGCCTTGGCAACAAAGGGACAAAATTAGGAATGGAGACGCTGCAGGCGGAAAAAAAGGTTTGGTAACACAAATCCGGGGTGTCATAAGGGAGCGCCGTCCTGTCCAGGTTTTCGTCACATGTGTGACTGCGTTCACATTCGTGACTATGCAGTGGTGGCAAAAGTAATCACCCTCAAAATTTAAGGAGAAGCACAGATGCTTGTGTAAAGTACTCTGGTAGAAGTAGTGAATTCATTCCTTAAAGATGAAGTCAACTCAAAAAAACAACTACTTATTAAACGTGTAAAGGGCTCGTAGTAAGGAGAAAAAAAAATGGTCCTGCAATGAGCAAAACAAAACCACAAAAGAAAAATGCTAAATTGGATCATGATAACAACTGGAAAAATACATATTAGCTGTATGTGTTTTTTTTCTTCAGATTAGACAACATCAAACAATTCCCTTGAGGCCATGCATGGGGAATATCTTACTTCTCCCACCTTGTTGCATCAGTCTTTCACGCTCCCTGATTCATGTTCCTCCATGTCACTGCTGGCCCTGTTTTTCTAAGTATGAGACTCCACATTCTCCATCAATCAATATCTCAACCACAGTTGACATCAACTCTCTCTATTTACATCTTTTTTTATTTTTTTATATGTCATGTCGTGATCTGTGGAGCTTGGAAAAAAAAAGTATTCTGACAAAATAAGGAGTAAAAAGTGCAGATATCTGTTTTGAAATCTAAGGAGAATAAGTAAAAGAGTCATCAGAAAAAAAATACTCAAGTAGAAAAAACCCAGGTAGTACACCAGAGGGGGTGTGTGTGTGTGTGCATGTGTGTGTGTGTGTCTGTGAATGCTATTGGTGGTCAATTCGGACCAAAGTTGCTATCAAGCGAGCTAAAGGAGGTGTTTATCCACAGGCTAGGTGATAACAGAGCACACAGACTTCTGCCAGCAGCACTTGCCTTGCAGCCGCTCTAAGCCACAGATTAGCCTAGTGAGCAGAAAAAATAACAGGCCTGTCTCGCTGCCTACGAAGCCATCCGCAGAGAGACAGAGCGCAAAAAGGCAAAGAGACCTCTCTTTCTGCTCGCGCCTCTCATGCAGAATCCCTCACTCGTCGCCGTCGCCCCATCGCGGGCCGCATGTAATCCTGGCAGCCATCTTAGAGCTTGGCAGCCATCTTAGTATTGGCGGGAGCTCCGCATTCCAGGTAACTGACGGCACCGGCTCCCAACGCGCGAGGCTGCGCGCGCACCCTAGATACATTGAGCCCCTCATAGACGGACAAACACTCGAGAGTAAACATGTGAGTGCCAATGAAAGCTGTTGTGAAAACAACCCTACTTCACTGGACTTTTACCGCTGTGTAGTATTTCACCATCGAGCTCGAGAGTATTGTAAACACTCCATTTCTAGCACCTTCTAAGCACTGGTCAGAAGACCCAGCCACAACTATATACAGTGTGTGCACAGTGAGCCCGGGGCGTATTTGTGTGACCGCCAGTGTGTATACGCGTGTGTGTGCAGTCCCAAGACTGCAATTAGCTTCAAGAATTAGCCAGCTGTGTTAAAGCTGGAGCTCGACATCGGTATGAGAGGTTATCAGTTTCACTGGAAAGCGAAACAGTGATCATATTGTCGGGTTGAGAAAATGAAACTCAGGAGTTCCGCTGACTATTTATCATGACTCGGCCAGTTACAGTCAATAACAGCCACAACCCGTCGAAAGTCGCAGCAAGCCCTTTATCTTGCCAACCCAGATCCCCAAAGCTTTGGCCTCAGCACCCCCAATCAGAACTCTGCAGCCCCCTCGGTCGTCCCTCGACCTCGAATGATCCCCCGCTGCTAACGTCAAACCTTTTAGCTTCATGCGTAGTCCTTGCCAGCCAGCACAGACAGAGCAACTGAAAGTTGGAGCGTATGAGATAGGAAATGGAATTAGTCAGAAAAACAATATTCGTTACATAAACTGTCACATTTCAAGATAGTATCTTCAAACTCCAACCCGACTTGACACTGGATTGAAAGTGCAACTGTCCATCGTGTATAAAAATACACAATGGTAACATAATTAAATACAATAAAAAATAATTAACCTTTTATTTCGTCGCACGTTCCCCTGTCATATTAGTTCTGGGGGCCACATTAGACAAATATACCCACATACTGTATTGTAGGCTGAATTCGTTTGGCTTCTCGGTACGGATGGATTTTTAGTCATTCTTCTCAGAGGACAACGAATATATGCGTGCAAGTATCATCATATTATCTCCCTACATGTGTTGTGTCATACGGTATATCCATTGCGAAAAGGGTGACAACACATATAGATGCTAATTGTTAGCCAGTGTGCCTGTGGTATTTCCCATTGTATTGTTAGCATTAAACTCACGGGGGACATGTATCTGTATCTTAAATAGACAATGTGTCATTCTCTTTTTGTGTTTAGCTTTACCAAACCGCTGCTTCTTAGGTGAGTGGAGTTCACTGCCACCACAGGCCTCAAACCTCAACTTTTATGATTTGTATCTCCAAACATTGACAAGTAATGCCACTCCTATCTCAAGGCACGACTGTACTGTATCATGAAATAATGATCATCATCTCAAATTACTAACAGACTTACCCAATGTGAAACTCCAGCTTGTTTCGGTGAATGAAAAAACATTCTGTTGTATGAATGGCAAGAGGTGGCTACAAGTGTTAATTGTACCTTCTGTCATCTATTGGATTTTTTTTTTTTCTGGGATAGATGAAAAAAACAGATATTCTTTTTTTCTGCAGCACACCTGATGCTCGCTCCCTGCAGCAAAGTGGTTTTGAGTCACGGCTTTCGTACTGTCCCGGTATGTAATTGAGGTTGAATCTACCTGTGTAATGTAAAGGTTCCTCGTTTGTTTGAGATCCATAATATTTGCACAATCATTGATGTAAATACCTCACCAGGTGAGTATAATTTCTCTGCAGGCTCAATAGCAGCTCAAAATTCCCAACTGGCTGGTGTAGAAATTCCTCCAGACTACTGTACCTCCTGCTGTCAACGCTCACATATTTCTGTGGCTTTTCCCTTTATCAGTTCCATCTGTAGTGCATTTTCCTCCCCATCCCATTTTGCCATGTGTGACATATGGTCCTGCCTAAGCGCTTCCATTCCTGTCGTTTTATGAGACTCAAATAATAACTCTGAAACCAAGCCTTTCCACTTGCCACGACTTGCAGCACTGTGGATCTTGAAATGAAATAAACTTTTGCTGTAAAGCCCGTTTTGATGGAGCACCAACGCCATGGCACTTTCGAATAGCCGTAGATTAAGCTCGGCTAATAAACCGGTTGGATTTTGCTGTTCAATGACTTATATAGCACGGTAGAGCACCAAAATAAAGAATCTGAAGGAGGGGGTGGAAATCCGAGATAACTCACTGAAATGAGCTCAAGAAGAATTTCATACTAAAACCGGGAAATGCAATTCAAATTCGAAAATGTAGAGAGATTAATTTAGACTCCCAAACACTATTTTTTTAGCATGATCAAAAAATAATATTTTTTATAGTGACTGATTACAGTCTACAAATTTGTAAAGGGGAAATCAAGTCAAAAATGTTGCAACACCACTAGTCTGACCACAGTATTCTCATTAATATTGTATTTATCAAAGATGAATTGAGCAGCGAAATCCACCTGTTTTTACCCATCTCGGGGAGTGGCTTGCTGTCGGCTAAAAATGACATCACAGTTCCCCAGTTCCCATGTAACGACCAATCACGGCTCACCTGTTTTCTGAGTTTGGTCATGTGACATTCAAGCTGAGACATGATTGGTCATTAACTGAGCTATTATAAGCGTACTATAATCCTTCCAGTGGAATCAAAAACGCGTTTGGATGCAGTTTTTCTTGATAAACCATCTATCTATCTTTCTATTTTTTTCTGGCCACCACAGGTACACTGTAAGGAAAAGGGGAAGGCAGGGGATAGAACACTTCCACACAGGCTGATCTCTAGTTGGGTGGAGGCTGCAAAGCATGAGTTGCGAGTGATCGTTTTTTGTGACCAGCAATAAAAAAAAAAAAAGCATTGATCGACATACGCTGATTACCTACTTTTGCACGAAAATCGTCCGATCTCTAAATGAGATGTGCAGTAATGATGTTTAACATTTTGTCAGTGAGATTGGACGACATGTGAGGTTTGCGGATCGATACTTCACCATAAGAGAAAACAACACTTTGTTATATCTATTTATTTGCGTTGGTATGTGTTGCTCCTTTTGACGTGACTTTCTTCCTTG